ATCCCAAGCTCTTTTAGTCCTAAGCACGTCCCTGCAGGGGTGGCCATTGGGCCACCAAGTGCTGGACTATTAGAGAATATATTAAATGTATTTATTAATGAATTTATCATATACTCTCTTTATACTAAAATAACTATTGTTTTTTTCACTTTTTTCCCTTAAGTACCTAAAGACAATTTTTATATTTATCAACAATACCCTTAAAAAATTAAAAAAAAAAGATAAGAAAAGAGTTTTTGCAATTGGTAGATTAATTAAAATGAATGAACAATAATAAGGACCTAAGAAAAAAATATTTATTTATTTTAAAAAATAAAAAATAATAATTAATTTTAAAAAATTTTAAAATAAAAAATACTTATTTCTATTAATAATCTCTTAATACTTAAATCAATTATAAATTTTTTGATTAAAAAATTATTATAATATTAAATAAATAATATAAAAAATATAAAAACAAGAAAAACTAGTTGTTATAAAAAATGGTTATAGCAACAATTTAAATGTAGGTAAAAAGGTTTTTTTCCTAACTTTGTAAATTAATGGTTAAAACCTCATTTTGATCCCTGAACTATTATACGGACCCCTGATTTGGTCCCTAAACTAAAAAAATATTGATTTAGTCCTTACTGTTTACCATTTTAACGCCAATTTGGTCCTTCCATTAAAAATCTCGTGATTTGTCTTGTTAATTTACTGTTACATGATGATATGTCAATTTTTAAAACACGTGGAAATACAACATGACAACACAATAATAACGTGGAAAAAATAATAATCTGATAAAAAAATAAAAATTCTTTCTTATATTTTTTTTCTCTTTCATTTTCTCTTTGCCCTCGGAACCGAACCCAGCAGGCACTGGGTTCGATGGAACCCAAGCGTGGGTTATTTCGAACCCAAGTGCTGGGTTCCATCGAACCCAATGGCAAAAAATTAGAAAAATTTTCTTTTTTATTTGTTTGTGGGTTTTGTTTGATGATGATGAAGAAACTAGCAAGGTAAGAGATTGGTTGAGATGACTGATCAAAAAAAAAAAAAAAAGATTAGTTGAGATGAATAGATCAAACCCAACACCTGGGTACCCAGTTGAGGGTTAGAAAGAATCCAAGTGCTAGGTTTGAAAAAATTAGAAAATTTTTCTTTTTTTTGTTTGTGGGTTTTGTTGTTTGATGATGATGAAGAAATTAGAAAGCTAAGAGATTGGTTGAGGAGAATAGATTGGTTGAGAAGTTAGGATTTGCAAAAGTTGAAGAAAAGGAAAGGGGAAGAGGAAAGGGAGAAACGAAAAAAGAAAAAAAATAGAAAAGGGAATTTTTTTTTTTTTGGGTGGGATGAGTTGGAATGCCATGTCATTTACTTTTGCCAACCTGTCAATTTTTATGTTTCTTTCGTCAATTAACGTGAAAATATTAACAGAAGAACCAAATTGGGGTTAAAATGATAAGCAATAGGAACTAAATTAGGGATTTTTTTAGTTCAGGGACCAAATCGGGGGTCCATACAATAGTTTAGAAACCAAAATGGGGTTTTAACCTAAATTAATTTAGAAAATGAGATTCAGCAGCAAAAATATGTGGCTATCATATAATAATTTGAACAACGTCAACCACTGCTTTGTAAAATATGATTTAGTAATAATATTAATAGTTACATTATAAATATGTAGAAATACTAATGATTGTTTCAAAAAAATATATTTTCTAACTCAAAATCAATTCCAAAAAAGATATATCGTAACTAAAGTTCTTGCTATCTTAAGTTCTATTTTGAAGCAAATATAATCACTTCAAAAAATAAATTTAAAATCAACAATTATTGTGAAAGGGAAAATTTCCCAACAAATATTTTATCATATAATATTTTAATTGTGAAAGGCCATTGAATATAATATTTTAGCATCAATCAATATGTATATAATTAAACTCTTTTTAAAATTTAATATTAGTTAAATAACTTTTAAATCATAATTAATTGAATTTACATTAATAAACAATAAGATTGTAAAACTAAAACTCTTTATTAAATTAAAAATAATACTTGACAAGACATAAGATCTAAACAAAATGAATCCTTAAAACAAAAAAAAATTTACCCTTTATATTTATTCCAAAGTTGTAAAGTTATCAACCCAACTGTTGCTATTCTTTTTCTCATACTGTAATCAGATATTATTTTGTAATTCTTCTTTATATTTTTCTCTTTCTACCAAAATTTCACTCTTTTCTTTCTCGAGAGATTGCAATTTCTATTCTAATTGTCTGGTCCTCTTTTGTTGATTCACAAATTCAAATAAAAGTGTGTGGTTCCTACCAATACCAACTCCATGTTTAGAGTTCTGATGTAAAACATGGTCATATATCTCTTTATTTGGTATTTGAATTCCTTTTTTGGCATTTTCATCCGACAAACTTTGTATGCACTCTTGCAATACATATATAATACATTGTTATCC